ATCTTCAGGAAATAGTCTCCCTACTCCCAATTTATTGTGATGTCCGGTGGCCCTGCCCCATGTGCTCGTCAGGGGACGGGGTCCCGGGGTGACGAGCCGTGTCAGTCAGACGCGCGGCGAGCCGTTTGACTGCGCCATCATGAATTCATAATGAATGTTGGATTTCTCTTTCGCCCAGATATGGTAATCTAATTAATTTTACAGAAATGTCAGGCCCAAATCAATTTGAGTACTGTGTTTTATCACCTCCGCATTAGCATAGCGGAGGAGCAGAAGACAATAGCAGGTGAAAAGAAGGGAGCTCGCACACACACACAGACATACAGACACACACACGCAAGTGCACACACACACACCCAGACACACGCATGTGCACATACACACACACGCGCGCGCGCGTTCGCGCTCCGACGCTGATATACACTCGCTGCCGTAAATACGTACACCGTGCATCTGACGCATATGAGAGTGACATCAGCACCAAAAAGGCTCTACATAGAGACCCTCCGTAACCTTAAGTGGGTCTTTAACATCCCCATTGTTAGCTTCAACTGCACGCCTACGGTGGCAAACAGGAACTGTGTTTTCTGCGGTTTTTAAACAAAGGTTATAGAGCCCTTTTGGGGGGGGGGGGGAGGGTTTCCATCAGCCGCCATCTTCTGCCAGAGTGTTCACTACACATCTGTTGCAGCGCAGCAGCGAGACACTCCTTTCCGATACTTGGGGGGTGGGGGCTGTTGTTAAATGGCCAGACAGAGAGCCAGATTGCTGGCCCATTAACAGCTCACTGGTATCCAGCTTCCAAGTACCGGCTGAACTCAGCCCCCGCCCCCCCTTACTTAGAGACCAGGCCGACGAGGTGCCGCAGCTGGCTGGCTGGTCCATGGGCAAACGCTTCCATCTTGGGTCTAAGCCAAACGGCCCAAGCAACCTCGCTTTATGGCCAACTGTAATCCAGATGGAGGGGAGACTACCTGCTTGTTGCCATGCTACGGAGACCTAAAAGCTAGCATTCACGCTAATGCTAATCCTGGAGTGGAATAGGGACTGAGGTCAGAGGTTCTTAGTCATCGAAAGGTCAGGATGAGAAAGACGAAGGTCGGCCGGACGCGGCGATCTTAAAACGCGGCCGTTTCGTTAAGTGGAGCAGCCTTAAAACCGTTTGCTTTGTTAGCAGAGGCGCTGGGACCTGCCAGCGTTGTCTTGTGAGCTGAGATGAGGACACGGGAGCGAGGGGGTGACATTACCCAGGGTGCCGAGGGGCAGCGGAGCCAAGCCTGTCATCTTCAGCACCACCTCCTCCCAATCAGGCGGCCGACGCGGCAGCACCTAGGTGGGGACGGATCCAGCGGGAACCCCCCCGGGGGACCCGGCCCTGACCCGTCCCGCCTGGAACCCCTCTCCTGCGAGGTGTCAGAGAGCCCTCAGAGATCTTATTAAAAACCTCCTACGGACGTCGCCAGGCACCTCCGCCTCACGCAGCTGACAAGGATCCAGCAGCCGCCGCTTTTATACTGTAATGGGAGGACGACGGAAGAGGTCAAGCTGGGACGGATCAGCGCCGGGGCCCGACCCATCGCAGGAGAGACTGCACGGTCAGGACCGTTAACAGGACGAGCCGCGGAGGTGCAGAGACGCCCTCGCATCGACCGTGTGCAGGCGACGGGGGGGGGGGGGGGGGGGGGTGAGGACGACTCGTTCTGAGACACCCTCCCCAAGCAACGCATGACAGATAATTAAATGGGGTGTCCCATTAGGCAAGAGACGGGCCGGCGCTCCTGACGTGCGCTGGGGCGAACACGGCGCTTTCCGGGCTGTCGAAGCCCCCGCCCCCCCTGACAGTGAGCACCCTCCCCGGTACAGACCGAGACACACGAGAGCGCAGCTCAAAACTCGTCTTCCAAAAGCAGTCGATCAAAAAATTACCTGATGCACTGACGCAGCATCATTGAGTCCATGGAAAATAAGGGTTTGGGGACTAGACATAATAACCTCTAGCTATCCCTCCGATTGGTCGGGCTCAATCCTTTCAAACCTTGGTGTAAAAAACATGCTTAACACTCTGCAGCACACTTCCACTGTTCTGCAGTCGTTTATTTTCACATATGAAAAAAATCACCGAAGATGTGAGGCATTACATCATTTGGTGTCACGCTACAAAGAGGCTTGACAATCTGCTTTTAATTTTATATATATATATATAACAACGACCGTGAAAATATCTGAAGACGTCATTTGAAGCAGGCGTTAAAACTGAGCCCTGGTTTTTACGGCACTGAAATGAAGACAGAGGAATCGAGCTGCCTCGCTTTTAAATGCGGGAGGGGTCGTGAAGGGGGGGGGGGCGGAGGTCCTCGCGAGAGCACAGACTTCGAAGAAGAAATGCAGCGGCTTTGGCGAAATGTTTATGAAAAGCCATATATGCCCCCTACTGGGCGTTTATAGCAAAACATAGTTCTCTTCGGATTTCATGTTCAAATTTTATTTAGTAATGGATATTTTTGATGTTGCTTTACACAAAACGTTTTAATTTTATCTACAGGCGAAGTTTAATACGCAGCCACTAATATCTGGCATTAGATGTATATATCTCATTAGACTTTGCTACCATGTAATACTTCTCTTGAAAAATACATAGTTTTTCATTTATTTAAAGCTAAATAGGCATATATTTGAAATAAGTAAAAAATGTGGCTATAAGTCATAAAATGCTATTGTTTTTTTACACAAGTCCAGGGAAAACATAATTGTGGGATGTAACTAGAGAACTTATTTAATACTAAAGTAAATATCTGTCTGATCAAGTATGTAAACATACATATGCTGAATTAGGTGACTGATCAAGTGATCAAACCTGCGAGGAATCCAGCTTTTGACAGTCAGTGTGCGATTTGTGTCCTATTATATATTAAATCCCAGGTTTGGTAACAAAGATGACGGGTAAAATGGATGCGCAATATCACTTTCATCACAACCCAAGTCTGATACTTAGCGCACAGCACCTGGCTTTGCCGCTGGTGTCCCTGCCCGTCCTCCTTGCACAAACCCCACACTGCACCCTTAGTTTTTAGTCCAACTCTGGAACATCAGCCACCTAGTGCTAACGTTAGCATCTAGGCTACCCTAGCCTTCCACTATCCAAAAACGTTTCATAATATTGCGACCAAATATATTTTTGTTAAATGCATATGAAATTCAGTTTAAATTTATACTTGATTACTGTATAAATAGTGATAGGTACGGTAGGTGTAGGTAATATGCACTGTTTATTGTCAATTTCTTGTTTTTAATTTATTACAAAAGCTGCAACAGGAAACAGCTGCTAATTCCAGTATTAGCTTAACAAACCCCAGTTGTCCCGAAAATTCAACTCATTTTCGTGGTCCTATTAGTATTTATTTGAGCAGACCAGCAAAGGGAAAATTATCATGATATTTTGCACACCTTGAGCCGTTACTATTGCTTTGGACCAGTGATATAGAACTTAAATGTGCTACATCTCTCCAGGAAGACAGAATTCCGATCTTCATTATTAAAGCTGTAAAATAGACACATTAATATTTATATTTGTAATTATCATTATTGTAGGTGAAGTAGCCTATGAGAACATTCCGTTATTTTGAGACACCTTAGGTAAATTAAGATTGAAACTTTTAGTTATCTTTTTAAATTGCGCATTAACAACGCACTTCTTCAAACAATTAAGTATTTGTCTTTTTATATATATCTTTTATTCAGAAGATTACGAATCCCTGCAGACACAGTTATTAATGGAGGTCTATTAGGATTGCTGCACTTATCTGGAAAACATTACGCTGAATGATTTGTATTAATCCGCGTTTCAGTCTTTCACATTATTTCATTAATATATCACGCGCACTGGCGTTTTTTTCGCAGAATTTCTCGCAGCAGGCCCAATTTAAGTACAAAAATTAGACAGCACGTCTGATTATGCAGGAACATCATACATATTCAAAATGGGACAAGTGAACTGCCAAGACCATTCCCTTAATGCTCAACACAATCTCGATAAATTGGACTAATTAAACTGGTCATTTTACTACAGAAAGCCGACGAAGTAAAATGATTTGCCACATAAAAATATTTACATTAACATTTTATTCACTTAGCAACTTCTCTCGTCCAGAAATGTATGTCCTTAAAAAAAACAATAAACGGCATCGTATTGCCCGTAAGGGCCTGGTCGTCTATTAATCTGACGCACCACTCAAAAGTCTGTTTTGTGGGCTGTTTTGCTTAATATCACTCGCCATTAACTTTATGTAGCCCACCAAACTTGTTTATTTTGTAATTAACAGGGCGATCGAAGCGGCCCTTTTAATGAGGCGTACAGCGCGGAATTTGAGATTATTGAGAATCTCCGAATTCGCTTCGACCAGGCTTTTACCAAGAATAGTAATTAGTTTTATTGCATTCGTAATTCTCAGGGAAATGGTTTTATGAGTGTGATCGTCTTTACTTACGACCAAGACCCTTTTATAAGTGCACTCTTAAGTACGGCCGAGACTAAACACTGGGGGAAACGGAGGAAGCATGACAGATTACAGCGTGTCCAAACTGGCTGATACTGGCAATTACCTTACTGGTGGAATGATATTGAAGCGAAATCATCTTCTTGGTATAAGTAACTAGCGCTCAAGAGTTTTCACACGCTTCAAGCGTTCATTGTAATTATTTTAATCGCTATTCACGCTGCTGTCGGCAGCATTAGCTTCGTCAACCTCGGTGACCTAAGTGACGCGCTGCGATTGAAATTGCGATTCGGACAGTTATAATGGAGAATCATTAAATACAAATTGGAATTTCTACAGAGCCAAGCGAAGAGTAAAGTAAACTTTTGCTCGGGGATTAGCGCTTCTCCAATATTACCGTCAATGGGGTTTGTTAATGCAGATTAACATGCATAATATAAGATTGTCACACGAAGATGGAGACTATCTATAGCATTTTATTTAACTCGCCAAAGTAGCCAATACCAGTAAACTTTTTCAGAAACATTTATTTTTCATTACCGCAGTTAATACACATACTTAAATGTTATTTAAAAAGTCAAAATGCAGTGAATGCAGCACATTTTTAAACGTCAACCTCCATCTAAGAATTCAGTCTGATGGACCACCGTTTTTTTTCCCCAGACGTTTTTTCCCCCCCCCAAAGAAAAACATAAAAAGTCACTTCAACTTACTCCACACTTTTGTAAAAAGTAAATATTACAAAGCATTCACAGAAGTCTTGCTTAAAACCTGCAACAATGCCTACGTCTTCGTGCTTCACTGAAATATCTACAATCAACTTGCTTGCATAACACTGATAAACAAACCTAAAAATTCTGGAAACACTGAACGATTAAAAAGGACACTTTCACATAGGGCGAGACGTGTAAAAACAAAACTGCTGAGAGACACAGTATAGGGACGGAAACCAGAGCACATTTTGGTGAACATTAGGGTGAAACTTCAGAAACCTCGATCAGAAGGTCAGATCAGCACAGCTGGTGCTGCTTCACAGCCAAGATGGAGGTGACAGGTAGCCCTCCCTGGCTTGGGGGGGGGGGGCTCAGCTAGGGGGGCTGTCATCCTGGGGCATCTCGTTCCCTTCGGGCGTACCAGGGTCACTGCCGGTCCCGGTGCACGAAGATGAAGTGCTGGTGGACAAGAGCCAGGCAGAGTCATCCCAAAATGCAAACACCCTTATTTACCCAGGGGCCTCTTTCACAAAGCAGGCTTTTGCTTAGCGGGATAACTTGTCGGATTTAAGGTAGTCTGGCCTGATAGACTATTTTTATCCACTTGCACTGAGTCCGGACTACCTTAAATCCGACAAGTTATCCAGCTAAGTAAGAAATCCTGCTTCATGAAATAGGCCCTAGGTGTTCTGAATAAGCACTAGGCTAAAGCAGGGCTGCCCAACCCAGCTCCTGGAGATCTACCACCCTACAGAGCTTAGGTGCAGCCCTAATTCAACACACCTGATGCAGATAATCAGGTATGTTAACATATCTGGCTTCAATACTGAGATGCCATTAAAGGGCCTGATTATCTGCATCAGTGGATAGACCCATGAACTTCACATAAATTCATTTAGCAGATGCTTCCCCCACCCCCCCTCCCCAAAGTGATGTACAATTCAGAAATTGGGATCAGGCCATCCCTGGAGCAATTAGGAGTTAAGAGCTTTGCTCAAGAGTCCAACGGTAAAATCACTCGGCCATTCATGGGATGTGAACCGGCGACGTTCCGATCACAGTGTCCCGCACCAACCCCGGAAGCTGAGCCACCGTTTGCGGACTGCACACTGAGCAGCGCCCGAGTACCTATCAAGGTCCAAGGTGAAGCGGACGGTGCCCGGCGGGCAGAGGGCTTCCTGGGAAGGGCAGAGGGCTTCCTGGGAAGGGCAGAGGGCTTCCTGGGAAGGGCAGAGGGCTTCCTGGGAAGGGAAGCGGCTCTGCGGCCCACAGCGCTGGATGGCCTCGGCCACAGAGTAGCGCGTCAGCCCCGAAGCACAGGCCTCGATCTTGGACACGCTGAGCTCGGACTGCAGGAAGAGGTGCAGGCAGCTGTCAGACAGCAGCAGAGGGATGTCCAGGAGTCTGTGGACCAGGGGCAGTGAAAGGAAGAGAAGGCAGTCAGCCATAACCCACCAGGAGGCAGTACTGAGCGCTGGGACCCGGAGCGGAGACATAAAGCACAACGCACACCCACAGTAACAAAGCAATAAGCTCGAGAGCAAAGCTCAAGTGGTAGATCTCACACGTAAGACCCCAGCAGCAGGAAGAAAGACTTACACATAGTTACTTTTCTAGGCAGAAATTTGCCTGGCGGATGGGAAAAGCGAGGACAGAATAAAACCCGACCCCTCATTTCTATAACAGATTTACTGCTGCATAAACGAAAGCCGAGGCAGGTTTTGCTCACCTCATTTTATAACAGGACGTCACAGAGCGTTTGCGTAACCAGCATCCCTCGACTCGAGTCACGGCGGTTAACGCGACTTACGTCACTGTTACGGTCTCGCAGACGGCGGGCTGCAGCATTGGTCACACGTGGGAATCAATCTGTCGCAGCGTCCGAGACTGCCTAAGGTGACTGGTGCTGCTATAATGTCTAAATACAGCAAACCCATACATCTCCCAGGACTTTTGAGGAAATCTAAATTTTGATTCAGGGCTGCTATTCAAAATAGTTTTGTACACGTTTTCCAAAGGCATCCTGGGCAATTCGCTTCACTTCCATGTCACCAAAACGCATCTCCTGGCTGTATATGATCCGGCAGGCCACCTCAGATGCTTTGAAGGGAGGGTGTGCACCCCCCCCCCCCCCCACATACACACACACACACACTTCTTAGTCATACTGTGCCAAAACCCCACATACTAAACACCAGGATGGCTACAAACTACAGCACCCTCAACTAGCTTGTCCAACTTTGTAATTAACAGTGGATCAGCTTGAGCAGGACTCACATTTGTCCTGGAAAACCAGGAAGTTAGTCAACTGATTTTCCAGTCACGGAAAACACGTGGAAATTCAGGGGGAAAAAGTAAAATATCCTGGAAAATCTTGTACTGTCCTGGAAAAATATTTATGCAAATGCATAATATTACCAGGACATTTTACTTTTTCCTCTCAATTTCCATGCATTTTCCATGACTGGAAAATCGGTTGACTATTTTCCAGGCTTTCCAGGATGAGTGGGAACCCGGTTGAGGGTAGTTGATGCATTCAAAGTATAAGTAAAAGCAACAACTTAATCTGATTAGCAACACAACTAAACAATCAATTCGTTTGAACCAAAAGGAACCATCCCAGCAATAGCCACTAGGTGGCATTTAAGTAACGGTTTTGTATCGCTACTGCCGTAAATCTCCAAAAAGCAGGCGCCCTTCAGTTCTGAATGCCTGGTGGGAAAATACACAGACTCACTCTTCCAGGAACTGCTGTAGCTTCTTCATCCTCTTGTTGATATGGAAACTGTTGCTCTGACTGAAGAAGGGGTTCCGGGGAGGAAGTTTAGGTAGCTCTCTGAGGCATGTGAGCAAGAGATGATCCCTAGTCAGACTTTTCTCCATGTCCTTAAGATATAATCTGTCCCAGCAAACCGCTAATCTCGCTCATTTTGCAATGCCAGAGATAAGACATGACAGCAATAAATTGTACTCAATAAGGTCCAAATCCCCCTTAACCCCCAGCAACGGTGAGACTGGTTTTCACCTACATGAGAAAAGTATTATCCTGGAGCCTCTGCCGGAGCCACACAAACTCACGGTATCTTCGTCTCACACATGAGATCTTCCTTCTGAAGCACATGCTGTTGGTCTGGATGTAAAGAATTCTTATTTAGCCATTTGACATTCGTCTTAGTGGTGAAGAGACATCTCACATATCTCCTTGTGGGCCTAGTGCAGGGCTATTCAAATCACGGTCCTCAAGGTCCGAACCCTACTGGTCTTCCAGCCTTCCATTATCTAGGATCCAGGTGTGAAGCCTCTGGCCAATCAGGATCAGTAATTATTAAACTAAGTATATGGTAGAACTGAAAACAAGGCCTGGATTTGGAATCGAGGTCTGGATTCGAAGAGCCCAGCCCCAGAGTTTTACCCATCATGAGTTATTACAATGTGCTCATTCTGGATTACCATACTCACATGTAGACAGATTTCATAATCCAGGTGCGTATGCCAGTAATCATCCTTCTGTATCCTAGGATCTCTGACCCAAACACTCACAAACTCCTGGAAAAGCAGAAGAACCTGCCTGTCTTGCACAAATTCGACACTCAAACAGAACATATTTGTAGAGCCAGTCAACAAGGTTATTCAGCTGAAGGTACACTGTAAAACAAGGTTATTCAGCTGAAGGTACACTGTAAAACAAGGTTATTCAGCTGAAGGTACACTGTACACTGTAAAACAAGGTTATTCAGCTGAAGGTACACTGTACACTGTAAAAGGTCCAGTGCGAGTCAAATAAGCAGCAGTACGACAAATACTCTATTCAATTACACGCCTGAGAGACACTTCCCAGTTGGTGTGGGTTTAGCACACTGAAGAATAATGAGGACTTAACTTGTGAGGCAATCTGTGGATGGAACACCAACCTTACTACACACCCAGACCACTCCCCTGTGCTTTAGCTAATGAGTAAACTGGAATAACTTAATTAGCCTTTCTGTCAGCTACTGCTATAGTAGCCTAGATATCAAGTTCCACTGTTGAAATCCAATAAAATATGTGCTCTTTCACAGAAGACAAAGACTACAGGGTGTTTATGAGATTTACGATATTTATTGTAGAGAGACTCGAGATATGGTTGCAGAAGGCATACCTCTTTTTTCGTTAGACCGTCATCCATCTAATCAATTCTGACCTGTAAAAACAAACACAGGGTCAGGCTGTAAACCATACAGTCACTCAAGCAAAGTATGCAATGAAACTCAAACGCAGTCGGAAGTTCAGGGTTACAATCAGTGTACCATCTAACTTACTACAATCTGATGTCGGTAGACATTATAAACAAAATCAAGCCATCGTGATCTGGGTGTACGTCACACAAGTCTTTGCCTTGTCTGTAATATTCAAAGTGTATAATTGACATCAAATGCCCAGTTTACCAGAACTCCATTTAGTTAAAGCAGTTTAAAATCTGACAGACGTTACATAACTGCAGACTGGTTCAACGCAAAGTTTCAGTTCCTAATTTCAGAATTTGATACTCTTTGACTATTTGCTAGAAACCAATAGCTGCAATTCTGTTTTTCACGATACCACTAACATTGCAACATCTCAGTGATGGAGTTGCCAACTCTGAGCACTAAACTAAAATACGCGATTGTTACACAATTACATTAATCCATATGGTCTAAAACACCCATTCACAGCATGACACCATGAATGCCAGGCAGTCAGTGCATCCTAACTGAATAAGAGGGAGCAGACAATTAAAGTCCACTGAAACTTGCATTTCTAAGTATTAAGGCTAGCATGTCCACCCCAATTCCCACACCACAACAAACAAATCTTAGGCTACATCTCAGGGTTTCTCTGACCATTACAGACCAAAAACAACAAACAAATTTATTTTTGTATAGCGCATTATCACAACATTACATCGTCTCAAAGCGCTTTACAGCATCCCCACCCAAAGCCCCCAGTGAGTAAGCCATAGGCGACAGAGGCAAGGAAAAACTCCCGAGAAGGAAGAAACCTTGGGAGGGACCAGATTCAAAGGGGGAGCCCATCCTCCAGGGGTCGGCAGGGAGAGTCAAACACTACCAAACACTTTGCTCAGTCTGATTTGCAGAAGTAGCATATAGGTCACAGCTGCAGTTTTAACTACTGATGTCAACTGCCGACTGATGGACACTGACATCAGTTAGTCAGCTTCCTTTGGCAACACTGGAGATTCTGTGACTCGTTGAGAGAAAGGCCTCAAAGTACACTGCCTTCCGTTCTGGTCAGCTGCTAGAACTTCTACATATGAAAATGCATTATTGTTTCTACAGAGATTCAAACGTACACAGCCGTAAGAAGGTATATTATTTCAGTGCTGTTGTAGTTAAAGACCACAACAGCAGCTAGGAAAATCCACGTCAGTTACGCTACTGCTTGGGTGACAGAGGTTCTGTGAGATTAAGCGCTATATCAAGCACGTAGGGAGGAGAACCTCGTCAGAAAAACGCAGTCAATGAAAAATGTCAATGCAAAAAATCAATGGCAGGTATTGCTATTTTTAAACAAATTACTCATCCGCACCGCAAAAGGTATTGACACACAACACCGAGGTTGTATTACACAAAGCATTCTTCATAGAGATTTGAGGACCTCAACGCAAATGAATCAGACAAGCATTGGCCACCAAACATTCCGTTCTGCCATTTCCCTTGGCTACACGTTACAAGAATTATTGTATTTCACAGTTCCATAGGACTTTCCTCCAGATTTCCTTTTCATCACTAAAAGATGGAAAAGAATTACTAGTCGGATCGTGTTGTGTTCCCTTAAAGTCTACTGGTTAACTGTAAATTGGCCTAACCCCGGGCAACTAAACGGTTTTAATTCATAACAAAGTGAAGCGCACCATAATAACTATGAATAAACTAATGTGACTTAAGTACTGTAGTACAAAATACTCAAATATAGTATATTTATAGTATAAAACACGTTTACCAAAACGTGTTTTATACTATAAATATACAATCATCGTTTTTTTAATTAAACCTGCTCCAGAATTATGCGAATACCGACCAGAACACCGTTTTATCTGCGGCTTGATGCAGGTGAACCTACATTTGATCACCGTACGTGTGTCTGCAGCAAACATGGCCCATCTTTCCTTTCCATTCCCTTACGAGGCTGCCAGCCTGCCGCCATTCGCAAAACTTCAACGGCATAACTACCACCATTATTTGTAACCAATACAACTTACCTTACTTTATTTTGCGTTAAATTGTAATTATATTTAAATCGGTAACGCCCTACAGATGCTGAATAATGTTACTCCACGCAGGTGTCACTCACAGGTGAGAACTGCAGCCAGACCATTAGTGAGAAATTTGTCTGTTAAATGCTGCAGCACATCTGATTTTTTTTAAACCACGGTTTTACACGTGGCTATTCAATCTGGCACAAGCTGTCCATTAAAACAACAAAGTTAAAATATTAAACAGGTGAATTTGAACACTTTTATTTAAACGTTTTAGTAAATTAGAAAATATTTCCTACTAGTGGATTAATATTGGTACGCTATACCTGCAAAATTGCGAGTAGCGGAGAAATGCCGGAAAATACTGCCTCCTGTCTTATAGTTATTCTTCGGATATAGACGTTAAGATCAACGAAAAAAATGGTCTCGCTCTGTTCCTCTACGATCCACAAAGCTTAAAAGCTCAACAAAACAGTTTAAAGGAATCTGAGAAAACCTGGCATAAAAATAATTTTTCAATATGATAAATATCGCAAACTTTCCTAGACCGTAAAACAGCCGAGCTATTTATCCATGCCAGTTTGTTGGAACGCCAACTTCCACGCTCCGCCCCTCACCTACCCTCTTTATTATCCCACTTATGGGCGTAGTTTAGTGAGGACCTATGAGTCCCGATTGTTTTCTGTGGTATATATTTGGGTGATCTATATCCTAATCTTTTAATGGTAGTGCCAGTTTTTAAGCTGAGACAGCTCAGGACGATATAAGCGTTCGTATCTTCGAAGACAAGGCAAACAGCCGGAGGCAAGATGGGTTTCAGAAGCACGTGCTATTTTATAGAATTTCAAAATTCAGTTTTTAAAATTCAGTAGCATTGCATGTAGTATGTACATTTACAATATGTACTTTCCTTTCTTAGCCATTTGGATGCCGCAAATTCGACCATGGACAAATCAATAAGGCAATGCTGAAATATAGTAATTAAACGCACTGGATCAACTTGAAACTGAAGTTATTAACTTACTTGCTTGGAATCATATCACACATTCACTGAAGAAAAATCACACACGCCACTAATTAGTTTAATTCCTCATTTTGCAAGTCTTACTTGCACAATCTCAGATTTTTTTTGTTTGTGAAATTACTTATACGCTTTGATCACGACGTGACCGCAATCAATGCCCGACTGCCTTGTGTCGAAGCTCTGTAAAATCCTGGTGGAGAGTAAGACAGAAAGAGGAAATTAAACGTGTTCCTATTTACGATCATGTAAAACCGATGAGGTGGATGAACTTATGTAAAAAAGAGAATAAAACAGAATGCGTGGAAATTTCAGTAATGAAGTATTTTGCCTCAAAAAAATAATGCGTTTTCTAACTTACTTTCCCACCCATTTACCCTAATTTCTCTACAGCTCTTTTTGTGAAATATGATCTGACGGTGTGAGGTCTCCTGAGATCCAACACTCTCGCATACACACGGATGTAAAAACCGTGACAGAGTGGAGACTCTCTTTTAAACCTACCTCTGCCTATGAAGCACTTAACCTGCAATGAACTGTGGCGGAGTTTTGCTGCAGCAAGTTTAAATCACTACAGGTAAAAATAAACAAATAAATAAAAGTTTAAAAAAAGGAGTTTGGCAGGGATTCGAGTTACATGACTCACAACTCGATTTGGACATAGTTGATGACTTGTGACTCGACAGCAAAAATGATGGAAAGGTTTGGACTTCACTTGGCCTTGAGGGCACATGACTTGAGACTTGACTAGGATTTGCAATGTTTTGACTCGAGACTTGACTCAGACTCGTCAAGGAGCGACTTGTTCCCATCTATGCTGTTTATCATCCTCTATGAACATGCACAGGCATTTGCCTGTATTAACCATACCGTAACCTTACCGTAACCATACTGTAACCTGCCCTGTTGGTGTCAGTGGTTGAAATCTGTCCTTATTTTGAGTGAATATTTATTCCCCACTTTTTCTGTTTGTTTGCAAACTCCACAGTTTTCAACAGTTTTGAATTTTAATTAAACTAAGGTGGAGACATCGGCTCTTTCTTTCCTCAGACCTTGTCCTGCATTAGGACTGCAGAAATGAGATCACCACACGGTTAATGATCAACAGAGCACAAGACATTCAGTGTTTATCTCAATAAAATGTGTCTCGTTTGTCCATTTTCTCTTTTTGGTAATCGGCCTGCATAGTGTACACTTCCTGTGTTTGATATCTGTTCCATATGGGCATGTGCCACATGCATAAATCCTACTTTGATGTCATACATTACCTTCTACAATGACCTTATACACACCCTGCCATGGAAGTGGACACTCCAGGAAGTACTGTAATGCTTTTAAAGACTGATACAAGGGACTTAAAATGCATGAGAAATGAGTTGGTCACATGCTTGCACTATCACATAAGGAATGCCTAGCCACTGCTGTGTTCTGGAACAAAACAGACAACAAGCTTCAAGTCAAGTTAAAAAATCTCATCTTCAGAATACCTGTTTGGACACAAAGTCCAGACTGGCCTAATCATAAATCACATGACTAGCCTTCATACTTCCCTGCTTGTGGTATCTGTGGTGTTAGAACATTACATTTAAAAAAATCACAGCCGTATCATCAAACCATATTATATGTAGCCATGTCAGTTTTACTTCATTTTTCATTTTGATTGCATAGTGAGTAAGAAGGGGTGGCATGTTGGCACTTTGGTTCGCACTGTTGCCTCACACCTCTGGGACCAGGGTTCGAGTTTCCAACATGCTCTCCCCTGGTCATACAGGGGTTTGCTACAGCTTCTCCCCACAGTCCAGAGACATACTGAGGTTAACTGGATTTGCCAAATTGCCCGAATAGTGTGTGAATGTTCCCTGTGACGGGTTGATGTCCCATCCTAGGTTGTTTCCTGCCACCTGCTCATAAGCTCCATACTCCCCCCAACCCTGAATAGGACAAAAAAATTCAGAAAATTGATGAATGGATGAACAGTGAGAAGCACTACTTCCATCAACAAGACTGATCTGCTTTTAACCACAAGCAGAGTAATGAAAACGTGAAGTCGGTGAACCAGATTGAAGACGTCTGAAGCTTGAGGTCCATGCAGCCACACACCATGAAGACACATGGCTCATCCATCGGCAGCAGAGGAGCTGCTGAGGCTGAGCTGAAGAGGAGACGCCACAGCAAGGCAGCGGAAACAGACGGCAACTCCCCCAGTTCAGAGGACTTCTACTGTCCAGTTTCCCCACTGCTTGTTGTAGCTTAGCCAGGCAGAGAACCATATTTGTGTCCGGAAGGTTGTTTGTTCAAATGCCGTGAAAAGTGGAGTAATCAATTCACTGTTTAGTCCACTTTGAGAAATGTTGGTCCAAACACAGGCTGAGTTCCACATGGGCTTGGGTGGCATCTTATTACTCCATCCACACATTAACCCTGGAAGGATCACTAGATTATTTCCATATATATTTTTTTAAATATGAGGGTTGCAAATCTGTGGTAGTGCTACTTTAGGAACACATGCACTATGGTTGACAGTAATTAGATTTTTTTTCTTCCAAACGCAATGCTATTCCAGTGTTGCTCAAGGGAGATTACCCATAGGTGAAATTTAAAAACAGCACAGTACACCTTACCATAATACTGCCCAAGCCTAGTGCACTGGTCACCCATTACCATTAAGCTGTACAATATGCAGACTGAAATAACACTGCCATATTTCTATGGATCTTCTAGTGTAATACAGAATCTATTTCATACACCCGGGTATCTTTAATTTAGCATTTCACTGTCTGCCCAGTGTAACATCTCTCATCACAGGATTAATAAAGTGCCTAACACTGTTCCATAAAAGGCTCAAACAGCGATAAACTGCCATACCGATGGAAAACACCACCAAGACAATAATGATGAACTTATGGAAAAAGTCAAAAGGGGACAAATTATAAATGAAGCATATAAACCTTTATTGAACAGTTGAAAATATTTACAAAGTGAATATACAGTGTCACTGTTCAAATATGATTCAAGTATGCAACAAAGTTTCAAATGACACTTACTACAAGTCGACGGGCGGTAAAACAAGCTATGAACAGAGAGAGTACAAGTTGGGTCAAAGACAAAAGCTTAAAATGACATTAAGAACAGCAACCAATACAAGTCACTTAGAATAATTAAAATGAATACACTAAAGAACTTTGGGGAGGGGGGGGGGCAGTTTAAAATGCATCAATTGGTCTCTCCTTCAAATATTGAGGTATGTGTCACCTGGCAGATTGAAAGCCCCAAATACACCATTTCATAGCCCTGGAAAGCGTCTGGCAGCTGCACCAGGAACATCAAATTAAAAACTGACAAGCGGACCCTCTCTGCTCATACGGAGTTTTTAATAAACAAGCCCCCGAGCCCCTACATAATCACTGCCCTTTTTATTCCATAAAGTTAGCCCCTAGGCATCCTACCTGTAAAATCCGCACAAACAGCCAATCGCCACTCTGCACTGCGATTTAAACTAAATGTTACCTGGAAACAGTGGGGGCTGGGGAGACTACCACAAGATTAAAAGAGCAAAAAGGGACAAGCAGGGAAGGGCAGCAGCCAGACACTACTGCTGCTCATCCTCAGGACACGAGTGCCAGGTGAGACGCTCTTCATAGAAAGCGATGACCACCTGTGGGCAGCGGACGTTAGCCTCTTTCGCTGGGACCAGGTCTGCCTCGTCAGAGTCTTTCCTGCCAGAAAGAAAGCGGGCAACACTTTCAAATACTTTTTCGCTGATAAGGTGAATCACGCGTCTCCTTTTGGTATGACAGCCGAAGACCAGCGTCAAAGTACAGGTGTCCCTTGATAACAAAAACCTGCTACGAATGAGTTAAGTTTAACGCCCATTACCAATTTTCACCCAAATACACGTATGAGTAACAAGCCGAGTGTAGGGGAATTTCCATTTCCCCCATCAGCTACACCCAAATCACCACCACAGCCAATTCCCGCTTGCAGTTACTACTTCCACTCAGAAGTTTCACGCTGCATTAGTTGTGCAACCTTATGATCATTAATATATACACAACATTTAAAAGTTTCCATTTGAAATTAAATGGAAATTATGTATCAATGAGCTCCCAGGACACATTAGGCCTTTCATAGGATTAAACCCGGATTGATAATGGTGTCCCACACACATGCTGAAGCCTGGCCGGTTTACCAGCCAGTACACAGATACTGCCAACTCACCATTTCATGAGAAACATCAGCTCTCCACTGCTATCTGTGGCTCCAATGATACGCTCAGGCTCAAGGTTACGGGCAAACCCACGAGGTTTTTCAGCCTGCAAGGCAACATCAACAGTCAGAACGAGAGTTAAGCATGTTGACAGAGAGGACTGACATGAGCAAATTAAAGGTTTATCCTTGCTAAATTTTGGTTGTTTTCTGCACACTTGTTGAATTTCTAGTGATGCATATTCCTTAATACCACACTTTCTTAACCAGCAACCTGTACAGCAGCTTAGGGCATGAACTCAAAGGGAACTTTTCCACCACACTAAGTACCGACTTTTTGGTAATTCCATCAAGTACAAAAAGCATGGTACTTCAAGGTGTTGGTTTTCCACTGGCATAAAAACTGGTACCAGCGCTGAATGGCATCAACACAAGGCAGGGCACTCTGCAATGAATTCAAAAAGTTTTTTATTGCTTTCAGTTCTGAATGGACATGATTTAAATTTTGCCAAAACATTTTTACTCTGCCTAATAAAATAATAATAATGAAAAACCTTAAGTTTTGCAATTTTAATGTCTATTCCTTTTCAAGATTTTCTAGTATCTGTTTAAAAATCAGTTTAAAGTTTACCTCCACTGCCTTTGCAGTGCTGCATGTGTTCTTGGAGACAATCATTTAAATAAATAAAATTATTTAAACTGTTTAAATCACTCCTAAGACAGGTTTGTGAGAAAATTATGTTGAACTCCAATTTTGCATTATAAGTACCCCAATATTTATTACAACAAAATACCATGCTGTCCTAGTACAACATACAAAATATCCTGATCTTGTATCTTCCGGCCGGACAATAATTTATGCTTAGGTCTTTCATTTGGCCGCACATTCAATACTATTAATTTTCTTTTTACTTAATTTTATGATTTTGCAAAGTTTTTTCCAAGATGGCAGCCATATTGTTTCAGAGGCAGCCTATTTGTATAACTCATTAAAGAAAGTGTTTCAAGTCCCACCCCAAAGTACTGAAGTACAAAAAAAAAAAATACCCCGGTTAGTTTGGCACTTTATGCACTGGTACTCGACTGAAGTCGATAGAAAAGGGAAAGTACAGAAAGCACAATACCAAAAGTACGGTACCTGGTGTGGTGGAAAAGCACCCAAAGTTTCTTTTAAATGGCATACAAGCACCACATCATTGATATTGCATTTAGTCCCTACTTATCAAACTCAAAACTCACCACATCCTTCTTCTTCTTTGTTTTGCTCTCTTCTGAATCAGTCCCATCGGTGGAAGGTTTCCTCTTGTTCGAGTCGAGCTCAACAGCAGACTTCTGAGTGGCCAAAAACGCCCCTATCAGGTCTGGACAATCTAAATTCTCTTCAGGCTCCCAGGTGTTGTCTGCACTGAGGAGGCAGAGAGCATAAGCGGTTTCTTAGTCCCGCCCTCACCATACAATAACTAACCAATGAGATGTTACGGCTCCTTAAAAACCAAACATTTTCATAATGGTATGTGTCACTATTAAAAAGGAACACTAACACACATCTGCAGCCCAAAGGATGTTGTACTTACTCTGTGAAGCCTTTCCATTTCAGGAAGTATTCCACTTTCCCATTCACAATACGCTGGTCAATTACTTTTTCCACCACAAATTCCTCAGGCTGCTCCATCTCCTTCTTTGATTTGCCATTTTGTTTCTTACCCATAATGACCTGCAAAAAGAGACAATTAATTAATTATTAATTAAATTTATACAAAAACAGTGAGCCAAATATTACAGTTCCAGAAAAGTTTATGTATCTATTTGCGCGACATACATTTCATGATGTCATCAGTTACTGAACAGGACTGCTTGCAAGTGGAACTTGAACTCGGCAGCCAAAAACATATTTTCCAGCTTACTAAAATGAACACGTTTCAGTTAAAGTTAAAACTGGTGCGCCATAAATCCACCACATTCACCGAACCAAGTACAGATTCATTGCTATATCTGTCCGCAAGCAGCGCGGTCATTAGACGGCATGTGGCGCACAAAAGGCCTGTAGTCGTGGACTCCAACTCCCAAGAACACCTAAGACAAAGGGTGGGCCTGCCTCAGCGGCGGCCTCCACGCCATGCGCTGCTCTCTCCACCACAAAAAAACAGGCACCGTCGGCATTATTTTAGTGCTGGGCACCAAAGTTTCCGTGTGGCAGAGTGCGAGCCCTGGTGTGCAACCACAGAACCACCAGTACCGAGCTACTCCCCAAAACGCAAAGCCGAAACTGAAGAGCCATCAGCCCCATAGCTATTAAATAATTCACGCCCCTTTCCTGCAAGGACCTAAAAATGTCAACACGTAAATTAGCAAAAGGGGAAATACGACGATCCATAAGCACTGCTATCACACTACAATGCGGCGCGGTGGCTGTATGTATAGTCATGTATAAAACATCGGAGGAAACTGCACGAATTAGATTAAAGAGCGCCATTTATGACAACAGTCGCCGGTCAGGTTGTAGACACCGTTTGGCTAATTTGCTAATATTTTCCGAAAGAATTACGCCACCGGCTTGGGAGGTGTTCGGCACCTCCGTTAAGGTAAATTCGTTATACTAGCTAGACAAACCCCGTTGTCTTTAAGGCTGATAGGCAAAGGCTGATAACGGTAAAGCTGTATAATTAAGCAACAACACCGCCAACGGGAGAACGACTTCGGCTGGTCTCACCGGTCCGGGAATCAGTCAGTTCGCGATAACAAAAGGGAAAAAACTGGTTCTCCGACACTTAACAGGTCTGTCGGGACACTCACCGTTTATATCAACACGCAACAAAAATAAATAAAAAACGCTGTATATCCGGTCGTCCCTTTAGCTAGCCGCTCTCCTCGTGGCTCGAGCCAGCGCGCGCCAAACCCACCTACTCCTTATTTACAGCCACCTTTGCGTAGGTTTGAACGAAACGCTACGTAAAGTCCCCGCTTGAAAAGGAAAAAACACGGATAAAACGTTGACGCGCTGCCTACTTTTGCACGTCAAAACTGAGATATCGGCATACCTCTCTGATGCATTATATACCCTGTCTGCAGTATAACTTACCTATGTCGTTTCCGAAGCAGACTCCTATTCGTAAAAGGCGTTCCGTACCATGGGTACGTAAAGACGGACGTAAATCACGCTCACAGGACGTGCACGCGCATGCGGTGTATCGCTCACAGCGTCGCGTGCTGGTTTTCGGCGCGAGTTTGTCATGTGACTCCGCTGGCTGGCAGGTACCTAAAACGTCAAACTAATTGGAGTTTTTTTTTTTTTCGTGTGGGGGGAGACTTTCTTTGTCAAGTGGTTATGCAAAGAACCTGCCTCTGAAACAGAATACAACTGCCGTCTTGAAAAAAGTTCTAAACTCAGAAAACGGTTAACTAAGTAAAAAAACAATAAAAGCAACAATAATGGATGCGTGGACAAATGGAATAACATGACAAGAAATAAAGTTTTTTTTGTATAATACACCAGGGCAGCATGGTATTATTTTCTTGTAATAAATATTGAAATATTTATAAAGCAAAAAGTTCAATATAAATTTCTCACAAATCAGTCTAGAAGTGATTTAATGAAACAGCAGGGATAAGAATGATTAGTGCGTTCTCTGAGGACGCATGCAGCCCTCATACAAAAGCAGCGGAGGTAAACCTTCTTAAACTTAAAAATTGCAAAACTTGGTAAGTTTTTTTTCTATGGTAGAGTACCTGAAAGTAAGAAAAAGCCAGATCTTAATCCAGCTGACTATCGATGTAAGTATTGGATGTGCATAACAAGCGTATTAATATCGCACGTCATGCAGTCTTACTACAACCATTTTAAGAATTCAGTGCAAAATACCCCGCCTCGCGCTGTGATGTCATTCGGTGGCCGTAGCAGTTTTTACGCCAGTGGAAAATCCCTAAAGTACAAAACCTCTTGTGCTGGGGAAGCGCCCGTGTGGACAGTACTGTATCGGCTCCATCAGTGCCAAAGACTACTTATGGGTGTAGGTGGGTGAGAAATAAAGGACGCTCAATGTTTAGAAGCAACTCATAAATTTATTTTTAACATGTATATTTACAATACCACGAATTGAATACCGTTTCCATTCAGTATTTTACGCTAGGCGTGAAGTAACAGTCTTAAATATATTTATAGTCTTAAACATTTCCAATTTTGCTACTGTGGCAAGTGATTACTAATTTGTACAAGTGCAGATAAAATATTACGTTTTTGTATAAGTACAGATAACGTAGGGTAAATTACACAATAGCAGATTTTTTACATTGTGTGTAGGTACATTTACAGTGCTTTACTGTCCTTGAGTTTCCAAAAGAGCAGATAATATAGAATTTTTGTGATTCTGTTGTTACCCGTGAGTGAGATGTACGATTGAGCAATGAAGGAGATCAAATGGAGGTAGCATCAGATAGATCTGGGTTGTTGCGGGGGCTGTGTGTGATACTCACCAACAGCTTGATGTCTAACAATTAGAATAGTTATACTTTTTGCCAGCTAAGAAATATGTGTCGTATGAGACACACTCATATGCAGGGAAAAGCAACACTTAGGGTCAGGAGAATGTGGCAGCCATTTTCCTAGCACCCCTGGAGACAAATTAACACTACACCAATTTTGGAAACATGGAAGCATTTCAAACTCAAGAAAATTAGAATTTATTAAATCTTGGAGAAAAAAAATTAGCGACATCCCAAATGAAAATACACATTCAACTTGATTCCCACGCTCCCTCAAACTATAAAGTACAGTGTTTAGTTTCACTTTATATATAAAAAAACAATACAAATCTAAATTGGTAAAAAAAACAAAAAAGCTTGATAATTCATGGTTCAACAAAACATTTTAAATAAATTGTGATAAAAAAAAAGCTTCTTTACTTGCCATTGACATATTGTTGCAAGCGCACGCACACACACACACGCACGCACACACAAACGCCATTTATATTTTTTTTTCAGGTCCACTTGGAAAGCTGCTTTGATCTCAGTGGCACTTATACAAAAAAGGAAAAAGGAAAGAGATGAGATGCACCAATGCAGCATCACCCCTGATATTTTAAGATGTTACACGTTAACCTATTTGGTGTTTTAGGTCAAGCGGAAGAACAGGGTGACCTTGACCTCAGAGGTAACAGTCAAACTAATAACAGCAATAAAGAAACAATTAAAAACACAAGCTGGGAAAAAAACAATAATTTACAAATAGAAAACTATATATATATATATATATATATATATATATACACACACACACACACACACACACACACACACACACACACACACGAAGTACACATATAGACATGATTTTACAACACTTTAAATGATGGATCTCCTTTTGTTTGCAGTGAATATTTTTGTACAACATTTGAGCCAAAATGTTTGTGAGGTCACACAAATCACCCACAAACGCACTACCACTGCTGATTCCCGGAGAATGTGGGATTTTTTTTAAGAGTCACGCTGTCTGTCGAAAAACAGACAGAGAACAGACATGCTGCAAAGGCCAAGCTTGTGATGCACACCTGCATGTCGCCAGGATTCATTTCAGAACTAATCGTGCTGGTCCAAGACTATCCTGAAACAGCTGAATGTGAAAAGAATCCCAAACACAGTAAATAAAGAGTACAAAAGCATCCATTAAACCCTACACCATTCACGCCTTGGCTTTTGGGTTCTACTAGCAAAACAAGAGTACTTCCATCGAAAATCAAAAATCCTTCTCCATTAGGGCAAATCATGTCCACACACAGACAAATAATTGCTGTCACATTTCTCAAATTACAGAGTCAATCCAAAACACCCAGTTGCATCAGTAATTCCCATTTTCAGGATGACGACCAGAGAAAGTTCCCCTTGTGACAAACCATTCTGGTTCAACATTGTACTTTCACAACAACGATGGGTGCGTTTTCATGAATGATCCTATTTCCTCAGATGCTTAGCTGATATTTTTGAAACATGTCTTTACAAGCATCAAATTTTAAATTTAGTTGTCTTTAACCCATTTTCAGGCTGGATATGTCAGAATAAGTAACCGGCATGGATTTACAACAAGCAGGGCCAAATGTATAACATCAGATTACAAAAGGCACGTCCTCAACCACAGCGCCCCCTGTGTGATGGAAAGAGCAATACAACACAGGCTACAGCAATAAGGGGCCATCAGCCTTTACTCATGGTGTCAAAGTGCAACCGATGATCTTTGTGAGAGGAACGACCCCCCCCCCCCACACACAGACCAGGCAGTTAGTATCAATTTCAAGTATACTGTTAAAAACACGAATACCTCCGTCAAATATGGATTTCATCCCTCAAAACTCTATTGACTTCTAACTTTAAATTCAAACAGAAAACCTCTTTTCAACACAAAAGTCCAGTGTTTCAGCTACATCCACTCATCCCACTTATTAAGGGGAAACATGTATCTACAAAAAAAACAATGATTAATTTCTGCCCCCGACACCTTGTGCACTGTTCACAGCAGGGACAGTATGAGGAAAGCAGCACGTTAGGGGCACAGGATCTGGGTCTTAGTGCTTTTTGTCACTTCTCCGTTTCTCAGTCTTGGGCTGTCCTGAGATGTGCCTGCGTGGCAGGACGAGGACCCGGCCGTCCGAACCGCACTGCAGGGTGTAGCAGCTGGGGCTGATGGGCCGGCCCCGCTCATCCCTCAGCCTGGACAGCAGGTCCTGGGAAAGTTGTTCCAGTTTCTGCTTCATGGCACAGAGAGCCCTGCTGTGCTGGGTCCTCTCCCGGAGCAGGCGGTCGCGTTGGCGGCCCAGACGCTCCACCTCGCCCTCCAGGCCGCTGATCACGTCCAGCTTCCGCTTCCGGCAGTTCTGTGCCGCCAGCTTATTCTTGCCTCGTCGGCGGATGTCCCGCAGCAGCGCCACCTGGGCCTGGGTGAGGCCGCGGCGGGTCAGCAGCTCCAGGAAGTCCTCCACAGGCATGTTTACGATCTCGCTCACCGAGAAAGGGATGCGGAGGGCGCGGGCGTGCCGCTCATCCCGGCTCAGCTCTACCTCCTCCTCCTCCTCCTCCTCCTCTTCGTCTTCGCTCAGCACCTCCTCCTTGATATCCTTGTGGTGCACCGCATGTCCTAGGTCCTCCTGGCAGCAGGTGGCGCTCCTCTGAAAAGCAGCATTGTATGTGTGGTTGTGCTGGACGCACTCAGCCAGCTCCGAGTTGGACCAGCGGGGAGACGCCGCCGCTGCTCCAGAGTCGAGGAGCTCGGCCGCGCTGAGGCACCCCGCCGCCCCGTTGTCGTCGCCGTACAGTTCCCCCGATGATGCTTCAGAAGAGCTAGGTGAGCGAAGGCTCCGGAAACTGGAGCTCATGGAAAGGCCGGAATCAGAGTCGCGTTCCTCGAGCAGCTGGGTGTCCAGCCCCTCCAGGCCAAGCCCAAGCAGGTTGATCTGCTCGAAGACGGCCTCATCCAGACACCCCGACAGCGAGCCGTTGAACGTTCCGTTACGGCTCCCGTTTTCCACCGGAAGGAGGAGGTGCATGGGCAGGTCCCCGGCTCCTAGGAGAGAGTCCGAGTGTGTGGAGTTGGTGGACTCCTGTCTCAGGGCTCTCCTGGCCTCGGTGCCACCACCTGTCACCAAGGCATCCTGCAGACTCACATCTTGGCTCAGGGCACTGGAGATGTCCACACCCAGGTCTGATGCACGCAGTGGAACATCCAGCTCCAAATCCTACCACAACATTGAAATATTTCACGTTGTGCCCTCAATATACTTCAACAAAGAGCATGCCATTACACTGTTTATCAAGTACTATTACATGTTTCATGTTTTATGACTGTACACTTAGGGCAACTTAAAAACAAACATGTACATAAGAAATTTACAAATGAGAGGAGGCCATTCGGCCCATCAGTCCGTTTGGGTAGAACTTATCTAATAGCTCAAAGTTGTTAAAATCTTATCTAGCTCTGATTTAAATGTTTTAGCTTGTGCTACACTAGCAGGAAGACTATTCTATACACGCTGTGTAAAGAAGTGCTTCCTTAAATTCAGTTTAAAATGTTCTCCCGCTAATTTCCACTTATGGCCACGAGTTCTAGTATTTAAAATAATACTGAAATAGCCATTTGACTGAACAGCATCCAGACCTGTTAGGATCTTATATACCTGGATCATGTGCCCCGCCTTGCAAAACAAGCATATCTAACGGAACCTCCATTAAAAGCAGCTCTTCAAATATTCCCCAAATTGCAGCACATTGTGAAGTATGCGCTTATCAGGACCAAATGCACATGTGACGCCCGCCATGTGTTTAACTGCACGGTGACTCACATCGAAACCAGAGAGAGACAGGAAGTCGTGCCACTGGCGGTCGGGCCTGGATGCAGCCTGGGTGTCGGGCCTGGATGCAGCCTGGGTGTCGGGCCTGGATGCAGCCTGGGTGTCGGGCCTGGATGCAGCCTGGGTGTCGGGGCTGGATGAGGGCTGTGACAAGGGGATGTTACTGCTGCTAAGGAAACTCTGAAAGAGAGTTTGTGCAAAATGTTAGGTGATCAAATAAGGACGAGCTGAATCTAACTTAACCTTAAAATTGGTGAATCTGGCAAAAAGGCCAACCATAAAGGTTCCCTAGGTTTACAATTCAATAATTTTTTTTCCTTTTTGTTTTACTACTCTACAAAAACCAGCACAAATTAACTTTTTGGATACATGTCAAGTAAAAAATGATATTTTAGTAGAAGAAGAAAAAAAAATTCCATTTGTTCTGATCCCACCCACTGTCTGTGATTGGCTGACATATATGCAACGCCGCAGGGTTAATTATGCAGTCACCAGCATGCTTTGCAGTGTACCACACTTTAAATATTGTAAATTAATACAGTAGTCCCCCTGTATCCGTGGGTGATATGTCCTAAGTCCTACCACAGACAGAAACCGCACATAATAGCAAACCATCCACAAACTACATAACGTGATTTCATGTACGTACATATGGTAATTGATAAACTATGCACAGTAAAACATTACCAATATTAAATAGGGTAATACATGGTACAATATACAGTACTGTACTCTCTTAAATGAAATGGACTCTGATGATAGAGCAATGAAAATCATGCTTTTTATGCCTCTCAATGGACGAAGTAACATTGTGACACATTTAACTATTTTTTTGCTCCGACCACAGTGAACCGTGGATGGAAGGAGACTATTGTATGTGCATTCGTGTATTTCCGTTAATTGTAAATGTAATGTTTGCCGTGTTCTATTGGCATGAAGTCATGGGTGTCACGTAAATTGTTGGTTGCTACTAGTATTAAATCATAGCTGTTAATAAAGAGAGCAACTTCCATTTTAAAAAAGGCATCCCCCTTTTTAAAATGACGCACTCATTCACCATAGTACGTTTATTTGCGCTCTATATGTGGGTATGCTGCATCAAAAACATTCTGTGCCCTCTGGCGTTGCGGCATGGCATACGATAAAGAAGGTGCCATTGACTTTTTTTTGTATGTGTACAGATCGTCCTCGCCAATGGATTTCATTTAGGCTGGATGTTGTTTGAAGTAAATGGCCAACTTTCAAAGAGAGTAAGGTGGGACAAGTGAATGCAAAAGCATTCCAGTGTACGAGCACTTGTACAAATCCATCACGGTCTTGATTAACCAGTGTTAAGTGAGTCAGTAGGGGTTAGTCCCAAGCCCACACCATAACAAGACAACAGAAAAAGAGTTTAACAGTCAGGTTGGTACCTCTTCCAGGGAGTCACTGTGGGCAAGCTGCCTGATTGCCAATTCCCTGCGTCCTGTCAATTCTGCAGCATCGGCTACCTGGTCGACGGGGACGACTGCATCCTGGGACAGATTCCATGGCACATTCCTCAAGGGCTGTGAATCCTGGAGAAACCGGACCAAGGCGGTGATTATAGCAGCTCAGAGTTTGTTTTATTACCATAACCAGAGGGACAACGTGTGACTCAAACAGACATGTCTGAGCCTAGTTAGTGAAAAGGGAGAGGCAATGAGGGAGATGAATGTTGTGTCATTTTGTTTATTTCAGCTATTAATTTTACATTCTCTGGAACTCACTCCTGTCTGATCAGGAAAGCTAAATTGAACTTCCAGTTGAAGACACAATGACGGAAGTGTAAAGATGACAATGAAATGAAAAATACTAGTTATATTCTCATCAAACAGGAAGCCTGAACTTAACAGAAAGTAAAAAATACAAGTAGATTTCAATTCTTACATTATGCATTTTATTAAAGCAGATAATGCCCATATTTGCCTGGTGTGCATTGGTATGGAGGAGCTTCAAGAAAGCTCGGGGCTTTTATAAATAAAGAGCATGATGATGGTATTTTCTGTGTAAGACACAACACAAACATCAGCAAACACTTTAAGATCCCTAAATACAGAACATATTGCACACAGACTGCTATGAGACAGTAATAGATTCCATTGGTCTGCAATACAGCAGAATTTGAAAAATGGATCTAATTTTCTTATAAAGGCTGTAGTTATACTTGATTTGATTTCAATAAAAAAGCTTTTCTGGAAACCATACAAAATATGGATCAGAGCTTTAAATGACGAATTAGCAAATAAGCTGCTTTAAAAGGATCTTCAGGGTGAGGGATTAGGGTGCTACTTTTGAACAAAATAAGCTATGAAGTTTCCATGCTCCATTAAACCAGGACCACACAGTCCAGATAAAGATGAAAATGTCAGTGCATGTATTCCATTAGGGTCACGGAGTGCATCTTTCTCTCAGTAGAGTAACGTAACAAAAGCCGTACATCAGCGCAAACTGTGGAATAGATCCTGAACTAAAAAAACAGGAAAGCTGAATCAAAGACAGGATTCAGTCTATCTATACGGTGTCTTGCTGAATAACTGACCTTTCTAAATAGCAAAAACTTTTGCCTGCACTTTATGTACATTTCACCTGCTTACATATATGTACCCTGTATATAAAATATTTCATATATCTATATTTATTCATATATTGTGTATCACATATCTATACAAACTGATCAGTACTCAAAACTGTATACTCTCCCTTGTATACTTTACTCCTGTAAATACTACTTGCAAATTCAAATTCTATATATTTATATTCTCATTTGTATGCTGCCTTATTGTACCTTACTGTCTTTTGCACTTTAACGTGCTATTTGCTCCCATTGTCTTTTGCACCTTACTCTACTATTGGCACTTTCTGGATAGACTCTGGTTGAACTACGTTTCATTGTACAGGTACAACAACAATAAAGTTGAATCTAATCTAATCTATTTTCCCTTTAGAGGCTGATTTCATAATGTATCATGTTTCCAGAAGAATCACTTCCTCCTGTATTTGGGAAATCACGTGATGTGACATTGAGGGTTGCAAGGATCACCATGTGTCATTATTGTAGCATACAGCACAAACCCTGCATAATGCAAGTGAACATTGATCATGCCTACAATCCTACTTTTATGTGTCTAGATTAGATGATATCTTGGAGTACGTTGAACCCCCAGGTCATTCCACCATGGTGTGCTGAGAGGCTCCACAGCGCCTCCTCCTGACGGGGCCACACCCCACCCCACCCCAGAAATAACACATCAGGCATCAGGAAGCACCCCATCTTCTTAGTAATACAAGTCCAATGCTGTTTGATTTTAATTGCACATAAGAACATAAGAAATTTACAAACGAGAGGAGGCCATTTGGCCCATCAAGCTCGTTTGGGGAGAACTTAACTAATAGCTCAGAGTTGTTAAAATCTTATCTAGCTCTGATTTAAAGGAACCCATGGTTTTAGCTTCCGCTACACTAGCAGGAAGACTATTCCATACTCTAACTACACGCTGTGTAAAGAAGTGCTTCCTCAAATTTGTTTTAAAATGTTCTCCCGCTAATTTCCACTTATGGCCACGAGTTCTAGTATTTAGACTAATATTGAAATAGTCATTTGGCTGAACAGCATCCAGACCCGTTAGAATCTTATAGACCTGAATCATATCCCCCCTTAGTCTCCTTTGCTCAAGGCTGAACAGATTCAGTTCCGCTAACCTCTCCTCATAAGACATTCCTCTAAGACCAGGAATCATTCTCGTAGCTCTTCGTTGCACCTTTTCTAAGGCAGCAATGTCCTTCTTGAGGTATGGTGACCAAACCTCATGTACCATCCACTAATTTACTTTTTCCCTTAATATTTATTTAATCAATATTCCATTATATTATGTTTTTCAGGTCTCGGTTTGTGTACTTTTTGATTAGTTTGCACTACGTTCAATTATTTGTATTGCGTGTACTGTCTTTTCATATAGTTTGTTTTGCACTAAATGTATGCTAATCTCTGCTCTATGTACCATGATGCCAAATGCACAACAAGTTCCCACGTGGAATCAATTAAATGTGTCTAATCTAATCATTCATCATACAGTATGTGTTTAACTGCGTTGTGTAATATTAGGTTAGATAGCTGGTATCTGGATATGGAAGTCTTCACTGTATTAAAGTATTAAAACTGTATAACTATCTTCAAGAATATGTCAAATTCAAGTTTTGTGGGGAAAAAAACATGTCCTAAGAGAATCCTTATCGACATTTAAAATGACTAAACTAAGCATATCAGGGTTTATAAGAGCTCGGTCTCAGCCTAGCCAGGCCATGTGATTATATCTGGGAAACGTTGCTCACAACATGTGCACAAGTTCGGACAACTGTAAACACCCTGCTTCAAGAACAGGAGTTTACACTCTGTATAGCCATGTCCTTATTTAAAACTTGTTTGGCTCAGAGAAATCACCTCCTCACTATTGTTCATTGATCACGCCGACGGCGCTTTCTGGAGATGGTAATACGCCCTGCACCCATTCTATACCGACAGTTATTCCCACTGTTGTCAGGCATCCACCTTTGTTTTGGAAGCACCGAGCTTAAACAAAGCACCCAGAAAGTACAGGACAAAGAAATTACAGTATTCACCCATCGTGGGCCAACAATGTCTCCGGCTCCGTCGACTGCTGCAAAAAAGACCGAGAACAGAAACCGAAATAGGTTCGCAAAACTTATGTACACGCAATACTTCCTTAAAAGCTGTATCAATCTGCCTAAAGCACTACAAACAACTAATTAAGACGCAGATATAATATGACAGGAGTTTTACAAATCAGGTTACTTTAGGACACAATGCATAACGAGGCGTTGTGGGAGCATGATCGTACCTCTTTGGAAAGCTCGCAGGCAGCCGGGGAGGGACAGGGCCTGGCGTCCCCCTCCTGAGCAGCACGCCGGCTCTCGTCCCTTCGACTCGCACTGGAGTTGGACGCGCACGTGTCTCCCTCCTCGCCGACAGCCCTGTTAACGTCCGCGGCGTCCGCAAGCGCCGGCGCGCCACCGCGAGCTTCGCCGGACCCGGCACTGTCAGAGCCCGAGGGGACCAGGTGCACCAGCCACGCGCTGAGCCGCGTGGGGAAGCGCGGCGAGCCCAGAGTGCGCACCTCGTCCAGCAATCTCCGGCTCGCGAAATAAGAGTCCAGATCAGGGCATTTCGGATGCAAGCTGTAGCCGTCCAGAGTATCCCGCAGATTGTGGACCGGCGTCTGCACGTAAGCCGAACTTTGTCCGACATTTGTTTCCAGTAGCGGCGACAGATAGCCGGTCAAGTACGTATCTAGCGTGACATCAACGCGAACTCCCATTAAACTTAAAAGGATGGTAAACTGGATGAGTCCTTCCGAAAAGTACTTCTTTAAGTACTGCATGGTAAAAATCTGTTCGAAACCGAACGATAAATGAACACTACCTGTCAGCACCTCTTTCCCTGAACAAAGAGCAACACTAAACAAAAGATCACGCTTCGTCAAATCAAACAAAGAGATATCCCTAACCGGCAAAATCGTGTCTTAGCTTGGCATCGGCTTATGGGACACTATTAATTGCAACATTTTCAAAAACCTAGCAGTTTGCAGAGCCAGATTCTAAAATACATACGGGTGTCTGACGTCCCACCCGCACCAACAATCAAACTTACTTTCTTGTAATAAAAAATACAGATTTCATGAATCAACCCTCGCCGGCTACACCGAAGAGGAGGAGACTCAACGTAACATTTGCATAATCCCCAACCAGGACGCACGCTATGGGTGTAGTTTCATTTCTGTAACGGAAATCCATCGCCGTATTTTCTGATTGGCATAGACGTTCCCATGTGATGTAAGGAAGCCAATCATGTGCCGAATGTATAAAACGTGGTTTCATACAAAATGTCACCCAACCCTACACAAGTTAGACCTTGTTTTAGGGTGTGATACTGTGAATATGTAGTTATACGGTCATGTTGTTGTGTAATAGAATTGTTTTTGTCTGATTACCTTCCTACAGTTTTGCAGTGGCGACATATAAATTCGTATTTTGAATTTGACAATTTGAAACGTGTGGGCGATGACCTTGTCGTTGTGCTGAATGACTAACATCACGTTTAATATTTTCCATCCATCCGTTTTACACAACCTCACACCTTCCACACAGTCCTATTTGTATGTTAGTGTAAATTGTACGTTTATTGTATATGTGTTCGTCATTATCTTCACTATCCTGTTATTTGCTATTTATTGTTCGATAACGTCGTAAGTTGTTCAAGTCCGCAGGGAGTTACACAAGCAAGTATTTCCTTGCACTTGTACAAATGACAAAAAGCTTTGGAATCCTTGTACTTATTTCCCAGTGGGGTGTTGCTGTAAGTTTATCCCATAATGCAGAGGAGATATCCTGGAGTCCCAGTCTTTGTTAGGGCACACACACAATTTGGAGACAAAAAATGCATCTGCATGTTTTTGGATTGTGGTGAAAACTTCACACACATATTTGGTCCAGGAACTGATCACCCCCATCTTGGTGGTATAAACCCTGTACAGCAGTGATTTTTAAGAATTCAAAGGTTATACAACATTGACAAATATAACAAATCCAGGGCTGGTGGACGAGACGTTAAGGCTGGATTTACAGTCAACTTTACAACATAGAATTGGTTGATGCAGAAGTTAGCCAGGAATATCACCATCTAATTTATCTTTTGTTCACACCACTATTGCGAGTGTTAAACAGATGATAACCTCTGAGTGCTAGATATGTAGGATGGATTCTTCTTCTCGCCAAGATGCTGCTTCTCTTGAGCGGGAAGCCAGGAAGTAAAAATTAAGCCTTAATCACCAATACACTCAAGTACTTCAGGGTGTCTGGATGCTGCCCCCCCGACACACACTGAACTGAATGACCATAATCAGAGTCTTTATTATTCACCAAGTACCAGGTGTGCAAGAAATTTCTCTTGATATGGGTGTCAAAATAATATCAATCCAATAAAAAAAACACAGAAAAAAAGATAACAGATATATAAAGACATGAACTATACATAAACTGCGAATAAAAGGATGTGCAACGTGACAAGTTAAAGTGCAAATATGGCATATTTGCGTATGTGCACTGACTGCAATAGCTGGAACTAGTCACAGCAATAGTTATTGTGCTGTCATGCTCGTAAGCCTGAGCTCTACCTTCCAGGCAAAGAGGCCGTACTGGCAAATTGACTCTGGTTTGTCCATCTCTTGAATCTGATACTAATGTAGTTACTCTGCAGAGGGCAGCCAGTGGTCAGCAGGTCAGTTAAGACCATTTTCCATCGGGCAGTGATCTTAATGGCATCATCAATAAGTCAATGCTCCTTAATGAAGCTGCAAGGATCATTACGCTACTGATGAGTTGATAGCCAACAGCAACTGTCTTGTGATTATGAAGTGGTAAGCTTTCACCTGGAGGAGAGATTACTTTGGGAAATTAATTTTCAGTTCTGTTTCAAAGTCCTTATTAATTCTTCTCAGGTTGTAACATTAATTGCAGAATGAAAACATTCAGTTAATGTACAAGTACCTATGGATCAGCAGTTTGAAAATTCTACTGGGGACTGGAGCGAGGAAAGGTAAACGCCAACAAAACACAGAATACTGCCCCATTAATTTTAAAAAGGCCTATTGAATTCATATTTATTAAAATCCAGTTCTAGTTTTTCTTTGATTATAAAATTACTAAAGTAATCTATAACATGCAGTCTATTTTACTCATGGGTTACTACAATGATATTCTTAACCATTGCAGAGCCTACAGTGTTATATGAAAGAAGTATGAAAGGAGTAAAGGGTGGTTTAGGAGGAGTCAAGAATTCAAAAGCTTATTGTCATTTGTACAATTATAAGCTTGCTTTCCTCTGTATAGATTTAAACAAAATACAGGGATAATGAACAATACAGCAAATAACAGAACAGTGAGACCAATAATATACATACAATATACAGTATACAATACACATGCCACATATGATACACAAAAACAGGCCAAAAAAAATGTGGAGGTTTCAGTGGCAGAGGTGACTGGGATTATATTGCGAGTTGTCACCACATATTTAACAATCTTATTGCTGTTGGCAAGAACCTGTTTCTGAGTCTTGAAATATGGGTCTTGTTGGACCTGGGGCATCTTCTGGATGGACAATAGAGGCTGTGCCGGATGGCTGGGGTCTGTCATTCTGCATTGCGCTTTTCTGAGGCAGCTTGAGAAGTAAATGTTCTGAAATGTCCCAAAGGTCTGCTTTGTTCTCACTCCCATCTGTAGTGTCTTGGGGTTCTGTGCTGTGTGGCTGTCATACCAGGATGGACTCCACAATGCACCAGTAGATGGTGGTTAGTATTGCAGCTGACATGAGGGCCTGTTCAAGGCTTTATTCCTTACAGCAATTGCTGCTTCTTCAGTCAATTTGACATCATCGGAGAGGATGACTCCAAGAGGATTAAAGCTGCTGTCCTTCTCTACAGCAGCGCCTCCGATGTTGTTTAGATCGTGGTTTGTTGCTTGCTTCCTGTAATCCACGACCAGCTCACTGGTATTGCTGACATTCAGGGAGACGTTACTGTCCTGATGGCCCTTTGTCAGGATCTACTCCCTGTAGGCTGTCTAATTGTTGTCGCTGATCACGCCTAAGATGTCGTCAGCAAACTTCACAATGGAGTTGGAGCTGTATCTGGTCACGCAATCATAGGTATACAGGAAGTACATCAATGGGCTCACACACTGCCCCAAGGAGTACCTCTGTTGAAGGTCAAGGTGTAAGAGGTCATCTTGCCTGTTCTTACATGCTGTGGTCTGCTAGTGAGGAAGTCCACGATCCAGATGCAAAAGGAACAGCTGAATTCTTGGTCTAAGAGCTTGGAGGTCAGTCTAGAGGAGATGACTGCGTTGAATGCCTAGCTGTAATCCGCGAACAGCCTAGCATAACGGTTTTTCTTGTCCAGATCGATGAGTCAGGCTGTCGCGTTATACGCGGTGATTAATAATACAAAATCTGTTTATTTCGCCGGTCACTACGACAGCACTTAATACTGTTCTCCGCAATAACTTTCCGATAATAGCTTAATTATAGAGTAACTGGGATGTGACACAATAAGTACAGCGGTTAAGAGTAAGACACGCTGCCACCTTTTCTATAGGCGAACATCTTCCGTGACCTTCGACCCCGGCCTCCGTTGACCAATCAAATTGCGCCGTTCTCTAAAGCCAGAATTTCCACGTCGGCAAATCGCAACTGCAAGAATGATAAAGTTGAAGTGTTGTTGCGATTGTAAGTCGCTCAGGTAAAGCCGCACAGCCTTCTGCTTTAGCTGTTCCTATTTGAAATCGTTTTATATAAAACAAGTCAGAAACTTGGTAAGGTTATAAAGAATACAACGCGGGGAATCAAGCTGTGTGTCTTCGAATACTGGTAGTAATTTGTACACTCTTAAGACCCATTTTCATAATTCTGACGCTTAACATTTTACATTGATTGTGTGCATGCTTTGCGTTTTATTAAAGTGGCGATGATTGTGTATTGTTTTTGCAACTACGTTTAAACTAGAGGAACACTATTAAAATTTTATTTGGCTGCTAGCATATGATCTAACATATGGTCAGTAGATGGAATGACGTGTCATTCTGTAACACCTGTGTTCCTGCTCTCGTATGAAAGTTCTTTGTTTTGCATAGTAGTTTTTTCTATACAACGCCTTTTTTTACAAGGTACGACTCAGCGCTGCGAAATAAACGAGGGAGCATTTGTTTTTGAAAGTAAAGTTCTGTAACACGTGGACTCTGAATATAATAGAAGTCAGTGCACTACAGAACTTTGTTTTCAGAGATTGTTATCCCTGATTCTCCAAGACTGGTGGTGGATTTCCTACGGACGCAGACTGATCATTAGTGGTGGTCGCATTCTTTACCCTTACTATTTTACAACAACTTAAATAACATTCATTCAAATTCAGTTGTATGTTTGATTATTGTATTTATTTTGTGATATTTTTTCTTCCCAAAAGTAATTTGATGAAAGTAGTCATCTCTGTAAAATATTACTGCTATCCGTCTGTGTTGTGATTGTCTGAGCATTTTTTCGGTGCTCGTTCTGATTGTTACTTTCAAGATAACTGGAATGTTAAATCACTCCCCAGGACTTACAAATATTGTATCTCATTGTTTACAATTTCAATGCAAATGTGAGCACAATTCATTTATTTTAAGCAAGTGTTATTTTAGATACGTTTGCGTTATTAAGAAGTCACTGTATTTTACTTTTTAAAAAAAGGATTGGAAAAGTTGACCTCAAAAATTGTGAGTTGACGCCACCTGCTGACCTGAAGCCATATTACATACGTACTACAAATACTTGCAGATACTACGTCGGTCGGGGAGATGTGTTTCCTGATATACCTACAACCTTGGTGCCACTTTAGCATGAGCTGTATCGGCTTAGTTCACATTTCAACATGTGCTCTATCGGCTCAGCCCACGTAATTAAAATGTGACTTAAACCTGTCCTTTGGCTTATTTCTCAATGTCTATCTTGTTTATTTGAAAGAATGGAAGAATAACGAAGAATAAAGAATAACGTGATTGAAAATGTGACTTTAAAATGCATATGTAACTGGAAGGTATGTCTTTATGCGCCACCCAGTGGTAGAGCGCAAAGGCTGGCAGAGCACCCCTTGAAGGAGTATCGCGATATTTTTATTTCTCGTTATTAGTTTGCTAAGAATGTTGATTTGGATTTCTCAACAATTGCGTGGCGTACAAAATCGTGCTTTTATAATAAACAGTTAATTTTACCTTACGATTACTGCACTTTAGCAAAGCGGAAAAAGGGAGCATCAATATC